TTTTGGTTGGGGGCAACATGGCTGTATTTGAAGTTTTTATATTATCATATAACATATTACAACTGTTTGTAGTAATGTAAAAGTCTTTTTTATTTTAGAAATGTATGCTGAGAAATGCCAAAGATAGGCCCTCTATAGAAGAGTTATTATGTCATCCTTATCTACAGTCACAGCCAGAAAAGATGATGTCACAAATGCAGAATATGTATATGTCACGTTTTGAACAACAGTTTAAAAGTATATTGTCTCAGTTAACACCACATTCACCAAATTCCATTAATTGTATGACACAAAGTCTGATGGCACAGATGAACGACAGCAATGATGTAGCGCCTGTCTTACCGATTGCTGCATCACAAATGGCGAGTTATTTTATATTTTCAAAGTATTGTCAATTTCACAAAGTTCAATACATCCTATTTCATTGGTATAACCACATGCATTGTCGAAAGGGTGGCCTTTATCAGGAAAAAAATATTTCAATGATCCATTATAGAATAAGCAGCCTGTTGGCCAATAATTGGTACCGGGTACGTTGAAAATTGGTTAATTATGCAATTTATGTAATTATTATGCATGTATTTCAACCCAAAATTAATCAGGTATGTGCATTGATCAATTCTTTAAAAAATTTGTTAACAGTTGTGAGGTAAATTAATTCATGGATTTCAACTCAAAACTAATTAGATCATCACATTTATGAACCAAGAAATAAGATGATTAGTACTTGAGATATTGATGGATTGACGTTATTAATATGCACTGATTTTAAAGCAAAACCAATCAGGTCTGTACATTGTCCCGATTTGTTTACTAATTATCTATTTTTTTTTGAAGATTGCTGTTTTAATTGCCATATATTGCAGGTTACAAGTAGCACAGCACCAGCCAGCCAACCACAAGAGATGAATGGGCAAGCACTCCAGGGAAAACCAGTGACTGTTAAACACTTTGAGACACAGCAAAAACAATCAATGGAAGTAGGGCCATCCAGTTTTTCATTTCCCCAAATGAGTATGCCTCCACCAAATGTGCCTACACATCCACAGCGTAAACCTTTAGGTATGGTGAATCAACAAAAAATAGCAGAAGATTCCAGTCATCAAAAAACGTCATTAGAGTCTAAATATCTGAACTCTGGTGCAGAAAATGGAATATTGCTGGAATAGAACTAGTCTGACATGTTTCATATATATTAGATAATTTCATTCCAAGTTACTTGGAGTATTGATGGAATAAACTATTTTTTGGTTTCTAGAAGTCTAAAGTTTAAGTTTTATTCACATGGTTTTGTCAACAATAGTTTGTTTGTTCAGCTTTTTGATATGGTAATCATGCTGCAAAGTGTATGCTGTTGCAAAATATATTTGTCGTATTAAACAGAGCTACTGTGTTTGTGTAGAAATCATTGATATTATGTCACTGGCCATGAAGACAAGAGCAATCATTGTATTATGTTACAGGTTGAAGAGGCAAAAAAGAATCTCCAATGAGTGGCCATGTGATATCAGATTTATTAAATGAATAATTTTCGGTAATGTTCAAAACCTTTGGTGAGAAACATAAGAAAATTAATACGCAAGTTTAATAAATTTTAATCTTGCACGGTCACGAATCAGAGATCCTATATTCTATCAAAATTGTAAATGCTGCATTCATGCGAAGATTCTTAGCGCATTTTGTATCATTTGTATATTAAATCACATTTCTTGAAAACAATTTATAGCCAACAACTGCTAAACAATTTTGCTGATTTAGGGTGAAATGAATAAACATGGATTTACAGTTTTCGATATATATTGGTAACATTATACAAACTTTGGAGGTGATTTTATCGGTGAATTTGTCTGAAACTATCGGTATGTTGCGCAAACCATATTGCTAACACTTAGATATAAAACAAATTTCGCCCCAATTTCATATTTAGTACATCAACCTATCAGATTGACAAATGGCCCATTGGATATGAGGGTACAAAGTTATGTATATGGTTTTGATACTGTTGACACAAATCTGTTACTTGCTCAATTTTATCTGAATTTTTTGTTGAAATGAACCTTTGAGTCTTTCATTTTGATTTCCTGGTGTTGTGATTTATGCACGACAGTTATGAGCTCAGCGCTGGTATCTGTATTACTGGATGTAATGCATTGTTATTAGATAAAAGCATGCCTATCTTTAAGCAATTTTTCAATATCGCCAAGTCCATGATATTTGTATTATTGCTAATCTAACTATTATTAAAATTATAATCTGTACCATATTATTCCCAGTGTTATCAGTTTTGTGAAGTAAGCAAGTAATACAAATGATATAGCCCTTGTGCTGTACTTTGTGAAGTAAACAAGTAATACAAATGATATAGCCCTTGTGCTGTACTTTGTGAAGTAAACAAGTAATACAAATGATATAGCCCTTGTGCTGTACTTTGTGAAGTAAACAAGTAATACAAATGATATAGCCCTTGTGCTGTACTTTGTGAAGTAAACAATACAAATGATATAGCCCTTGTGCTGTACTTTGTGAAGTAAGCAAGTAATACAAATGATATAGCCCTTGTGCTGTACTTTGTGAAGTAAACAAGTAATACAAATGATATAGCCCTTGTGCTGTACTTTGTGAAGTAAACAAGTAATGTGAATGATATAGCCCTTGTGCTGTACTTTGTGAAGTAAAC